TTTCGCGCACTTTTTTATTTTTCCCAACTCGTCCTCTCCTCCCCACAGGCTGCAGGTGACTCACGGTAAAAACACGGCCCTCATTGCTGTGTCCACTTATACTTTACAGGACGGGCTGGCCGGTAAAGGCCTGCAGGGCCGGCCCGACCAGCGAGCCAGCCCTGCCGCCGGGCTGCGGGACCTGGCAGTGCAGCGGGGCGGCGCGGGGCACGCCATCTCAACCGGTTTCCATGATCTTGCGCTGGCTCAGCCCGGCTCAGCCCCGCTCAGCCCCGCTCAGCGCGCCGCGCTGCTCCTGCGCGCAGCCAGCTAACATCCCATCGGTGCGCGGAATACCTGAGTGTACCGCCAGTGCGCGCCACCACCATCATCATCATCTTCTTGTGCGCCGTCCTCCTTTACCCCGTGGGAATGGGATAGTCACAGGCCTAGCGTGACGTCCCAAACCATGAGTAACATGTCCCCCCCTCCGCCCTTCAATCCTCATCTCCCGCCTTCAGGATTTATACGCGATGTGGGCCTGGCGGCGCGGCCGCCCCTCCGCACAGCTTCCGTAAGATTACTCCGAGTAATGGATGTGTTCCTCATCCCCATTCGAGCCTTCCCTCAGCGCGCAAAAATTGGGACACACAGACACACTCAAGGCGAGCTTGGACGGGCAACCTGTGCAGTGCGTGACAGGTACTGTACCGTACAGAGTAGGGAAACTCAAAAACGTGAGACACGTCTCCAGATTACTCGTAAACCGGACATTAAACAGCCGTGGCCGGTACTTAGAGGGGAAGGATTTAAGTCGCCACACACTTACGTGCAGTGTACGACGTACCGCCCCCCTCCTCGCCCGGGGCCCCGTGTATATACGGCGCCCCATCCATACTGCATGCGAGCGCGTTAAATATTTTATAAAACTTGGGCGGTGTACATTATAATAATGCAGGCGTATCACACGTCACGTCACGTCAAACGTTGTACGACGCCGGTACGTAGGTACATGCACGCCACACGCGCAATACCCTCGGCATTACCCCTCTCGTCTCTCACACACACGGCACACCACCGACCCACACGTTGCACCGGCCAACAGAGGGGGGAGAAAAAAGTTAAATTCAGTGCAAAAATAATATATCTGCATATACCTTTCAAACAACAGCGCCACAAACATGGCCGCCGATATAATAAGCGGGCAGCGAGAGAGGTGCGGCGCGCGCAGGCCCAGCTGGCTGCGGTCAGCCATGTTGTTAGGTCGCCATGGCAACCCGCCGCCAGCCCGGCCCGGGCGGCCAGCAGAGCCAGCGCAGCCCGGGCGCGGCACACAGCTGGGGACCACACTCACACACGTTTCACTTTCCATATCGGACGGCGCGGCGCGGCGCCGTCAAATGGAGCAATTTTAAAGTCGCCGATGGCCATTACCCAGCCCGGCCCGGCCTCCTCCTGCGGGTTGCAAAACACGGACTGCCCCGGGGTCAATCTGGAATCCCCGGGGAGGAGTGGGGAGGGGTTGGGGGGGACGCGTGGGAGAGAGGGAGCGAGTGGGTGGGGAGGGCGAGAGAGACAGAGAGAGGGTGGCCGCCAACCCCTCCGCCGAGGGGGTGGAGTGGGCCGCGCTGCTACCGCTAGATAAAACGCCAAGGGCCATTAAGCGTACTCCGCGGTGGCGTGGCGCGGCGTGGCGCGGCGGGGGGAGCCCTTAATCCGCGTGCAGACTGCGCAAGCAGGAATCCGCAATACCCCCGCCAGAAGTCACCAAGTCAGCCAATCCTTCGACAAACGGAGCGCCCCCCGCACTCACTCCCGCCCTCGGCAAGGCCACATTCATCTCCCCCGACGGCGCTAAACACGCCGGGCACAGCAGCAGACGCAACTGGGGGGGGGGGGGGCACCCACCACGGAACCCACCGCAGGGCGTCGGCCAAGGCACCCAGCACCGCACCCACACCGACGGAGCCGAATCTATGCAAAACATCGGGGCAGCCGCGCCACGCCGATCGACTTGGCGCCCCCTTCCGAGCTTCAGAGCGGAGTCGCAAGGGGGAAAAAAATAAAAGACGCCAAATGGACCGAGAAATGAGGAAACGACTGCAGTGGAAGGAACGCTGCGAGCGCGGCAAGACATCAGCATCAGATACTGGCACGGCGCGGCGGGGCACGGTGCGGCGTCGAGGTAGCTTAGCGCCAGGACACAACTCCCTCCCAGGAGGGAAGGGTGGACACCGCAATGCTGCTTTGTCTACCGCCAGAGCGAAATGGAAGCGTGGGTGAGGGAGAGAGCGAGAGAGAGGAGGAAGGACGGGGAAAGAGAGATAGAGAGAGGGACGGAGAGTAGAGTGTCCCCTGCTGCTGGGGTGCGTAGGTGGTGCACCCCTCATATGACACACTAATCCGTCATAATGGACACCTTAAGGGCAGCGGAGGGGCCGGGCGGGCCGGCGCCAGGCCTGGCCGTGGGTCTGATGGCCCTGTGGGGAATGCACACCGCCCCGCGGGGGTGAGAGGAGAGTGAGAGAGGGGAGGGAGGGGGTGGGACCGATATAGCGCTCTCTCTTTCCGTCAAGGATTTGTACGCGCGGGAAGACATGGCGAAAAACCAACCGCACCCCGGAATGTAAACAGCAGTGTGTTTGCTGGCCTAGTCTTTCCATTATGTATATAGCCGGGGGCAGCAGCCATTGGGAGAGAAGGGGCTTTGCCCCCCTCCCGTTCTCTTCCTGGGCGGCTCGAGGGGTGGGTGAGGCAAAACGAGGGTTAAAAAAATCCAGCCTTCCCTCTCTTTCTCTCTGAAAAGGAAAAATCATGGAAAAAATATAGAGGGTCCCATTGTGCTCATATGGTGTGCAAACGGTATGGATACGGCGCGCGAAATGCCCGCGGAGGGGCCGCTGAGGGGCCGTGGAGGGACCGGGGAGAGACCCGGGCGGGCCGCACCAAGCCAGTGCCACCGCGACAACGAGGGTCAGCCCGGAGAGGCAGAGGCAGAGGCAGAAGGTAGAGGGAAGGGAAAATAAAAGAAACAAAACGACACTTGGAAGTCGACGCGGAATTATCAACGCCTTATCGCAAAGTTTCACATTCTTTGAAAATAATCGAGCAGGCCGTGTTATTCGGGGACCTCGACCCGGCTAGTCCCGGCGACGGGGGAGGAAGTAAAAAAATAATAAGGAAACGAGGAGGAAGGGAGACGGATTAGCGAGGAGAGAAATAAAAAATGGCCGCCTTTGGCCGCGTGGGGGACAGGAGCGCGCCGCGCCAGCGGAGATAAGCGATCATATTAAAACAAAGAGGCCCGGGCGGCGTTCGACGACCTGTCCCGATCTGGTGAAATGAGCTGCAGGAATATCTCCACGGGGGAGAAAAGGAAAAAAGGTTTTAAAAAATTTAAGGGAAAAACTTGAGGCGTCGTCCTTTTCTTTCACGTTTTAAGAGTCATTTCAATGAGCGCCCGAGGACCACGAAAAGACTTTAATCCCTTCAGTCGAAAGTCGGAAAGTCCTGCGCCAATATATACCCATTAAAGTTCCCCCCTTCACAAGACTACCCCCACCCCCTTCCCTGGGCAGACAATAGGCGGGCGATGCGTGCGCGCCGCGAGCAAGTTCTCAATGACGCGACTCATATGCATTCGAGATTAATGGATCGAACTGCCGTAAAAGGTTTCCCTCTGGCGGACAAAAGCGCCGCGGACAAGGCCGTGCGCGCGCGCGCGCACACACACACACACACACACACGACGGCGAAAAAACAACTCACCGTTAGGTGTTGAAATAGCCACGCCCGTAGAATATTTGTGGCTACTTTAGGGAAAATTCCTCTCTTCTTTTGGCTCTTCTTGCCCCCACTGTCCTCGTCCTCCTCGCCGGTGCCTTCCCCGCTGCCGATACTCGCGTTGCTCGCATCACCTGAAAGCAGAAACAAAAACAGAAAGGGTTAGGGAAGGAGAGAGGCACTCTAATTGGGACGGAATCCCAGTCACGCTATAACGCCTGACAGCCATTTCAGAAACAACAAAAAGGACTCGCACAGCGTCACCCTTCCTCTTGTCATTCCCCGCAACCCTTCACATAATCTCATTTTAAACATTACCCCCCTTGATCCAATTTCCCTTTCACCCATTTCGTAAATGTGTTTGCATATGAGTCATTTATCGCGGGGCTGGAGGGTCCTCTCCCCCGTAGCGCCGAGCCTTCCCCATGCATAACAAACACAGCAGCGGCCGGGCGGGGCGGGCGGGGCAGGGCGGGCACAGCCAGCCACCCCTCCGATACACATATGGGACGGATTAGGCCTCGCGCTCCAACACCTACAAAACCACCAGCGACCGGCGCGGCACGGGTCCGGGCCCAGCTGACGCTCTCTACATGGGCGCCGGTGGCTCCTCAGGTCACATGTGTGCGCGCGACTGTCCGAGGCCTGCGCGTGATGGATCCGCGTTCCTTTGTCGCGCAGCGCAGCCCGGCCCGGCCCGGCGCAGCCACCCCAACGCTAATGGAAGCTGGCAGCGCAGAGCAGCGCAGAGCAGCGCAGAGCAGCGCGCACCTCATTGATAATGAGCAGCACAGCCGAGCAGGGCGCCACCCGGCACCGCCGCACCTCGCCCCTCTCTATGCGGGACAATTGGCGCCAGCACCAGCGCCTTCGGAAATACCTCCCTCAGCCACCACCACCCCCTCCCTCCCCACCTCTCCTCTCGCAAACTCGTCTTTTCCTTCGGCGGGTCGGCTTATCACGATTCAACCCTAATAGTTGTCAGGCGGGTCGCGCGTCGGCGTGGCAGAGCGTGGCGTCCCGTCACAGAGCTCCCCTTCCCTCCTCCTCCTTCGCCTTCTCCTCGCCCCGGGCGATCTGTACTACTACTACTACTGCGCTGTTTGACGAGCAGCGCGCGGTCCGCAAATACCATTCCGTGATAACACGCGGCGCGCGCCAATCACGCCCCGCGTATCGCGAACGTGTTTCCCACCGCGGGGATCGCAGCCGCGGCTGGAGGCCTCCTCGGGACGGGAGCGAGGGTCATCGCCGGCCTCGGGGCCCACGACGCGCACCTCTCAGCCCGGCGGCCGCGGACACACAACACCATAGCGAACCACCCGCTCTCATCCACTCCCCGACACGACGACGACGCCCACCACCCCATCTCTTTAAAATAAAGGAACGCCGCGTCACGATGATTCCTCGTTAAGGTGCTCATGTGAAGATGTTTAAAAAGAGAAAAAAAACGGTATAGAAAAGAGCCGGTAATCTGCGCGAGGCATCATCCGTGAGTCAGCAAATATGCCGTTTTGCGTCACGTTGCGCGGGGGGCTCATGTGATGGCCACAGGGCTGATCCAATGTGGGGGAAGGGAAGGGGGCGGGGGCACATTGAAGGAAAGCTGCGTGAGAACTGGGCAAGCCTTGAACCAGAGACGGGTGGACGCACGGACAGAGACGGGCGGACGGGCGCATTCCCGAGCTCTCCCGACCCGTCCCAGCCGCAGCGGTGTCAAAGGGTTACAAGGCATGCACGGGGCGGGGTTCGGCGTCATGCCATCGAGACAATGTGGATTCTGCACAGTCAGTAACGGATCGGCATTTTTAAACGCTGTTGGCTGGGCGTCATGAGACGGGGTGGTGGGGGCGGGTCGTGCCACTCCCCGACGCCACGCCACAGATACTGGGGGCAGCCAATTAGCCGAGGTGCACGGCCAACACTGCAAACTCACCGTAGCCATGCGCAACAGTCGTCTGCGACCGCAGACGTCGCGCCGTCAACCAAAAAGTTTTATCGGGAAACCTAACACAGAATTGTTTCATTACAGGGGCTACGAAAAGCGCAGTTTCGACATTTGAACAGCCTCGTACAACGGAAACAATTCGATCGAGTGTCCCAGCAGACCA